TGAGTGGAAGAATAGATTGTGTACAAGGTTATATGAATTGAGTGAGGATTTATAATGTCATGTGAGTGTCAAGAAGATTACTAATGTACTCGAGACATTGGTGAGACTATAATTTATGGACAACCTTTGAATAATGCTCAACTGACCATGAGAGTGTCCATCTAATATCTAGGACTAAATGAAGGTTATAAGCCAGTGTGTGAGGAATTGAAATGATGATTTACAGTTGATGGTTAAGGTTAGGAATTAGATTTACGGGTTGTCATCACGAACTGACATCAGTTATAATGCTAAAACTCTATTTATTGAAATGGATGAGTGTATTTCGCGCCGAAATTCGCGACTTATTATCTTATACCTGATTGGTTCGTCCATAAATTATAGTCTCGCCGATAACAAAGACTATATTTGACCAAGAAAGGTTGTAAGTTCATCTTATAATTAAGTTTACTATTGGTTAATCGGGTTTGAGGTTGATCAAGGTAAGAGAAGTGGTTCAACATATTTGTTTCATACACATGACCTCGTTTGTTCAGTTCGAATGGCTATATCTTTTGCCTGTTAAAGGACTTTGAATCTGACAAACCTTGGAAAAATATTTCTGACTTGATAGATAATTGAGAAAGATTGACGTATGCTGGAACTATGACCAGTTTGCATTAAATAGACCAATATCGAGCTATTCACTTTCTTGACTGTATCCTTGTTTAGAAACTTTGGAAGGTATTCACGAGCACGAACCAACATAACTTACTCTATAAGTATAGTCTAATTGACAAATATAAAACGAGGTGATCGTTCTAAGTAGTTAATACTTTAGTCTCAGTGTCTGATGTTTCTTATCTTCAAAATGAATAAGTTTGTACAAAATATCCAGTTCAATAAAATGATTACCTTTCACTTAGTACACGCCTGTCCCCAAATGCCCTGGTACGACCGAGAGTAGGGAGAGTACACTCTCCCTCTCCAAATGCTCTCACACGGCCACATGTATATAGCCTCTGCCAAGGAAGTCTACTCACTGTCTTCTCATGGCGAGGGTGTTGTTTACAAAATTGAGAGGACGAACAGCGAATTTCCTGCGCTTTAACCTGGTTGGTGGAAACGGCGATTCCACCCTTTGGGGGTTGGAAAACCCTGATTCCAAACCAATGGTGCACATGGGTTCCAGTATCCTGAAGGAACAAATGGCGTGTGAATCAATCGTTGGTCACTGGTTACCATGAGACTGCATCTCCTCACAATGCTCCACTGCTTTGTTGATCAGACCTTTAGGTCAAAGGCTCTGAGTGTTTGGCCCGAAATAAAACCACCTGTTGCTGTTTGGGCACCTGGGTAGTATCAAATCCCTCACACAAATCAAATGAGATTTGTGTGTCGCATATATATCTGGTGCCTCTTTGTACCAATATTTATGTGTTTAAATAAAATAAAATACACGCCTATGAAATGATATTACAAGATCCACTCGTAAATATGAATCATTATTCATCCATCTGGACAAGACATAAGGTCTTCAGTTGTATTGAGCGATACTCATGAAAACTTTCCATATACATAACCGATGAGTTTCTGCCGACATACAATTCCACCAAAACATTTCACTTGAATGAAAGATTGGATAATCTTTTCAGAAACTTCACAGCTTCTCAATATCATTGCTGATGAATAATACTTTAAGATCAATGATTGAATTATTTCTTACAACAGTCTTATAACTGTAGGTGGATTAATGAACTTGGAGTCATTTCTAATGAGTCAGTGAACGATACTACTATAGGAGCTCACATACAATTGAGTTTGTTTATATCTAGTTTAGCTTAGCCCTTTTGTTAACTTATTTAACGGACAGTCATTCGAACAAGAAGAACAACAACCTATCTATACTACCGTATCTTTATTATGTACGCTTGATCATTGCTTACTGCCTACGCATGTATTCTGCTAGCCTTACTATCGATTTGATGATTCATGCATTTCCATTTGTATATATATGTACATCTTAATCCTGTTTACTGTACTGTACCCTCTTACTCGCTGACTCGATCGATTGATCTCTCGCCCATTCGACTCTTACGCTCAGTTGCCTGCTTTACGACACTACTCTTTCATGCTTGCTTAACGTGCCTGTAATTCTGGATATCTGTGTTTGGTCCAATAATAAACGTAATCAACCCTTCGAATTCGCCTTCTGATTTATACACAGTTAGGACGTTATTGAGTAACGGTTATCAGGACGAACAATATACGAAGTTTGAGGATAATATCGAATATCGACCATCACACTACTCATGTCTATTTTCACAACAGATTCATTCACTATAGATTTTATCATGAGAAATCGATAATAAATCCAGCAGGTTATCTCACTTCACAATTTTGTCCTATAAATCCAGTTGGGCATTCACATAAATAACCACCAGGAATTTCATGACAAATGCCTTTATTTTGACATGGTTTACTAGAACATTCACGATTAATTTCACAATATCTACCTTCAAATCAAATTGGACAAGTACAATAGAAATCATCTGGAAGATCCTAAAAGAAATATAAATAGATGAAATTATGAGATGGTGGAGAAGATTTATAGCTCAGGTTGGTGATTTTGATGTATGTTTGTTCTCTGAGCTGAATGGTATGGTCGTGGAGCCTTCATCGTCCTTCTGAATGACATCATCAGCAAAAAGTTTGGGTAGAAGGGAATTGAAGAAAAATGCATAAAAATAGGAACAAAAATCAAACCAATAGGAGATACAACCAATAATAGAACTAAACAATGGCAGATTCAAGGTCAATAAGAACTAATCAACATCGATATGCACAGGACAAGCTATGAATTACATGTGGAGAAATTCAAACACTTCACTTCTACTCGAAGTTTGTGCTGATGATGTCGTTCAGAAGGACGACGAAAGCTCTATGACCAAACGATCCAGCTCAGAGAACAAACCTACATCAAGATGAAATTATTTTACTTATAAATATCAGAGGGTGAAATTAATTAAAAAATAACCACATTGAATATTTCTGAGTAGAATTCATCAAAGACTGATTTCATTTGAGATACCATGTGAATCAGAGATCGTTGGATAGATGTATTGTCCTAGGATAGTACTTGACAGAAGTCACAAGGGGTTTTGTGGAGGTTTTACTAATTTTATAATAGTTAAGATCATGAGTCAATTGAAACTAGACCAGCGTGGAAAACCTGGAAGAACTGGACGGCTGTTTCGTCATATTGTGGGAATCCTCAGCAGTGCGCATCCACGATCACGCACTCGCGAGATTCCAACCCACGATCTACCAGACCACTGAGCCGGCCGGCATCCAACGGTGTTAATGTCTAATGTCACATTTACATTTATTATTATTATGTAAATAAAATAAGCTTCTTACGTGACATGTTCCTCCATTTTTACATTTGTCCATACAATCATCAATATCTCAATTATTTAGAAGAAGAAAAAGAAAAACAAAACAATCCTTAGTGTAAATAATTATGTAATAAACAAATGAAATATCAATAAAAGATTGAATTGAGTCATGCAATTTATAAAGAAAGTGAATGAATTTCATTATGTAACTGTTTATTGTTAATTCCACCCGTAGCTCCTCCGGGGGCTACTGCCGGTCCCAAGCCCAGGTAAAGGAGGAGGGTTGGACATAGGGTTAGCGACCCCATCTCGTAGAAAACCAACTCGTCAAAAAAACGCTAACCAGAAAAAATTATTCAAACCATTCAAACCATTACAACTGAAGAACATCTGGAACTGAAAACAATTGTCAACCAACACCAAGATCAGAATTTTCAATACAAATGTCAAGACAGTTCTACTGTATGGGGCGGAGAGGTGGAGAACCACGAAATCCATCATCCCGAAGATACGGGTGTTTATTAACAGTTGTATTCGGATCCGTTGGCCAGACACTATCAGCAACAAGTTACTGTGGGAGACAACAAACCAGATTCCAGTGGAGGAGGAAATCAGAAAGAAGCGATGGAAGTGGATTAGGCACACTTTGAGGAAATCACCCAATTGTGTCACATGACAAGCCCTCACATGGAATCCTGAAGGTCAGAGGAGAAGAGGAAGACCAAAGAACGCATTACGCCGAGAAATAGAGAGAGATATGAGAAGAATGAACAAAAATTTGATAGAACTAGAAAGAAAGGGTGAGGACAGAGTGGGTTGGAGAATGCTGGTCGGAGGCGTATGCTCCATTGGGAGTAACAGGCGTAAGTAAGTAAGTAAGTAAGTAAGTAAGTAAGTAAGTAAGTAAGTAAGTAAGTAAGTAAGTAAGAAAGTAACTGCTCGTTGTTAAATAATTGGAGAGGAACAATTAATCGTTATGAATAACTTTAGTCAACTCCACTTCAAAAAAGAAAACCCACCTGATCAGTAAAATATATTAACAACTTTAGATGATACATTCATACTATTCAACTTGTATCATTCAATCTCATCTATTGAACAGGAGGGGTTTTGTGTGGAGATTTTAGTAATTTCATATAATTGAAATCATAAGTCAATTGAAGACAATGGTGGATGATCGCTCAATTTCGTGAATTGGTCGAAGTTAGACATTAACACCATTGGTTGCCAGCCGGCTCAGTGGTTTTAAAGGTTAAGCGCTCGCGCGTGAGACTGATAGGTTCTGGGTTGGAATCTCGCGAGGAGGGATCATGGATGTGCACTGCTGAGGAGTATCACAAGAGGACGAAACGACAGTCCAGTGCTTACACGTTTTCTATGGTGGTCTAGAAGAGAATGCAACTATATGGAAAAGATGCTGAAGTGATCATTTTATGAGATCGGACTGACGGTATTTGGTTCATCACATCATCATCAACATCATACAAATAAGCAAACTGTGATGTTGTCAAACATGACTCAAAACCGATTCCAATGTATCATAAATATAAAAATGACTGATCGAGTTTCCTATTCTTTTTAAAATATTAAAAAATACCCATCTTTCTTTCTTTTTTCACTTACTTTCATCACAAAATTGTCCTGTCCAACCAGGTTGACACATACATTCATAATCAATTCCATTTACTGGTTGTATTAATTGTTTACAATTGACTGCATGAACACATTGTGAATTACTACATGCTGATCTTAATTGACAATTAGATCCTTTAAAACCAGATGGACATACACATTGGAAACCAGGACCATCTAAATCTTGACATGTTCCACCATTTAAACATGTATTGATTAAGCAATAATCAATATCATCTTGAAGTCAGATTATGTATAACATGAGAATCAGAGAAAAAAGTATGTTTTATTGTAAAGATAAATAGAAATTAAGATTAGTGTCTTACTGGATCATTTAACGTGGGATAATAATTATCCGTCCTTGCATGAAGCGTTCTAACGAGGTTACTCCATGGAACTATCAGGAATGGAACATAGAACTTTCAGAATCTCCTACTCTCCCATTTAGATTTTAGGTTGTACAGAATTCAAGCTACCTTACGCTATATGTTGCTGAAAAGCAAGGTAGATTATATTCTGGCTTTAGACTAATTGGCAGATGAGAAATGAATAGTATTATGAACATGTGAATTGTTCATGGCCTACATACCTCTGTCTGGATCATTTATTATGCATCCATTTATACGTGATTGATGTAAACTCTCGATTCGGTTTTGACATTAAAGCTTCTTAAGTACTCTTAGTCATCGCACTTTCTCATTGCCGATTGTTTCAACTATTAGGTGATGTATGAAGTTTTGATTGAACCTGACCGGATAGATAGAAAACAAGCATTTAAGTTATCATACAAGTCAATTAAGTTTACTGAAACCTATTGTTTAAGACATGTCAGACAAGTTGATGCAGAATAGACAGTATGTAGCTAACAATGGAATCCATGACGTACATGTTGTCTTATTTACAACTCGTCAGCTGGATGTACTTTATTTATCCCAGAGTTGGTGTCCACTTCGGTACCTGAACCCTATATTCTTCACTCTAAGTGTCAACATCTAAAGTATTAAATCAAATAACTTTTAACCACTGAACTTACTCTCTTCACAATGATCACCACGCCATCCTGGTTGACATTCACATTCATAAGTGATGTTATCTGTTGATATACAACGACCACGTTTACATGGATCAATTGTACATGGTACCAATTCTACATTCATTATCGGAAAAAAAATAATTTGTTAATATTTTCGTTAGAATCCGCCTGTATCCCCTCTGGGGGCTACTTCCGGTTCTAAGACCGGATAAAGGAGGAGAGTTGGAAATGGTGTTAACGACCCCATCCCCTAGAAATCAAACTCACTAGCGATTCTCCCTAGTTTGAAGAGAACTATCTATAATCTGACATTAAAAAAATAATAAATGAAGCCCAATAGGCATTCAATATATTCACAACTCCTTAGCAGTGTGTGTACATGAATTTGATGGTTGATATGAGTTTTGCCAGATGATCTATGAAATTTTAAATGAAGATTTTACGATTCACTACTCATCTTATTTGTATATGTTAAAACAAAAGACAATCATTTGTCTAAGAATCCATCTTATCCTTTCTAGTTCAGTGCTTGTGTTGATTTATTATACAAACTTGATACATCATGAAGATCTTAGGATAAATTTTTCCTTATTTGATATTGTCAACTGTGTAATGTTAATAAAGTCTTTGATCGAATCATAATAATGGCGATATGGGATCATTACATTGATATCATTAGACTAGGGGTAATCTACAACCATAGTTGAACAGATGGACCTTGTGAGTTTCAAACTCGGATCATTCAGGCTATACATTGAATGTCCGATTTATGGTAGTTGTTTGTAGTGCCAACATAAATTTAAATACAATCACAAATAATTAATGAACTTCAAGAAAACCAGAAATCAAAATCTTATAGACTCCAACATCAAGTTCTCAAAAGAGCTATATGAATACACTGATTGTTCCTTGTTACTATCGAGGATAATAGCTCTATTAGTTACCAATGAAATAAAAAATAGAATAGAATAATCGTCTATGTTAGTTGTAATAATGAGTATGAATGAATCATATATGTACCTATAAACCTTTTTTTGTTGACTTGAAATAGTGCCATCGTGAATTCAGTTAACACTAAAGACTCCCAAACAGAAAATTGATTAGTTCTCACAGATTGACCTCATTTGATATCTCATCAAGTTGCCTACTACTTGAATAGTTCAGTCGATAGTTTCCTTTAACTATGAAAATCAGGATTCAAACTCCATGTGAAGCATTATTTTCTTCAAGAGCACAGGAGTATCTAGTTATTGGGAGTCAACTAGTAAACAATTTATCTCAATAATTTCATACTGGTTGTTCCTATGATATTAGGTCACTCACAAATAAGGCAGACAAATAAGGCGGCCTGCTTAAACATCTGGGCTACCTGTTTCCCGTCATCTATATATTTCAACAAGTTATCTAATATTGTTTGTTTTAATACATAATTATAGCTATTAAGCACACAACCTATTCCGGTGCGTTTCTGAAAACTGTACAACCTTTCGCTGTAAAAGTTACAAAAGGCCTAATCAGAGATGTCGTGTTTGCTGGGAACATGCAGCAAAAAGAATATACATTATTCATATGTCGATTGACTGAACTGCTGACATCCAACTGGCGATCACTGAATGTTTATCATCAGGAGCAACGAAGAAATAAGAAACGTAAACATGTTGAATTACTTTATGCTGAGAATTCGATTTTGTACCAAATAATATAATATTGAATAAAGCTAATAATAATAATAATAATAACAATGGTGATTAAATTATAACTTGACATGTGATAGCTTTCTTTGAGAAGTGAATCGTAAATGGAATTATTACTAAGAATATATTGATATATTATGGAATCGTTTCTATACATATAATCATTTTATATAATTGAAATCATGAGTCAATCGAAGCTAGACCACCATGGGAAACATTGAAGCACTGGAGAGACGTTTCGTCCTATTATGGGACTCCTCAACATTGTGTATCCACGATCCCGCCTCACGAGATTCCAACCCAGGACCAGTCAGTCTCGTGCGCGAGCGCATAACCTCTGAACCACTGAGCCAGCCATCATCCAATGGTGTGAATATCTAACTTCAACGAATCCACGAAATCGGGCAACCATTCACCAATTGTCTTCAGTGAGTTACTATCTCTCAACAGACCTGGTTGAATTGTACCGGTTACTGCTTCTCACTACAACTCCAAGTAGTCTATCTTCAATTGACTCATGATTCCAACTATATAAAATTACTAAAATCTTCACAAAACCCTCCTTCTGACATGTTATCATTGTTTAAAAAGTTTCCACTCATAATTTTGTAATATTACTTAGTAAATCTTTGTCAAAAAGGAATCTTATTGACAGGAATCTTATTAACTAACCTTGATCACAAAATGATCCACCCCAATTAGGTAAACAACGGCATGTAAATGGTGCATCATTACATGTTCCATGTTCACATCCTGGATATTTGATACATTCATCACAAAGTGGACGTTGCCAACCAGTTGCACAACTTATAAAGAATGAGTTAATGAAAATTGAAAGTTATTATGAGTGTCGAATTAAACAAAAAACAACAGAACACTATAGGTGAAGTAGTGGTGGAGAATACATATGAGGACAACCGACAAATAGAAAAACCATACTCTGATGCTTCATTTGCAAAATGTTCATTCATTGTCTAAGGCTTCATTGTTCCTGGATTTCCACACTAATTGCTTTCTGTTTCTGTTCTTCCCTTCTAGATCTTCTCAATCTTCTGCTGCTACATGTTTTATTCCTGACTCATGGTATATACTACTTATGTCTTAAATAAGTAGCCCACATCACATTGGTGTTCTGCTTGGTTTTATCACACCTATTGAATCAGTAAATGACTTCTGTTTGGTACTAAAACCCTAAATTTAACGATGCTTAGTGATAACATAAAAACTGTTTATATGGAATATATTTGACCCTGTAATAGTATTCATAATCAGGTTACAAGTACTTCTTGTGTACAATTCAAAGGCCTTTATCGTTATATCAACTACATTATCAAGCCTCAAATGTGGTATCACTTTTAATTCATGTAATCATGGTGACAACAAACTATCTTATAGATTTATAATAAGTTATAATTACGTGATGAACAGAGGTACTGGAAGATGTCGACCATCGGGAATCAACATATATCTTGATGACTACCTATTCTTCATCAGGGTAAGATGAACTCAAATATCAAGTGAGATTAATACATTCAATTGTAAAATATACATATAATAGGGGAAAACATGCAAGCTTTAACAACTATTGATAAATATCGTTTCTTATTTCTTCTTGCATACTTAATCACTTACTAGTGTATTGAATAACATAAAAAGATTCATAGTTGAAAGCCTGAGTCAATTGAAGCTAGGCCACCAGGGAAAACCTGGAAGCACTGGACGGCCGTTTCGTTAGACATAAACACCATCGGATGCCGGATCAGTGGTCTATCGGTTAAGTGCTCTGGCGCGTGACTGGCAGGTCCTGGGTTCGAATCTCGCTCGTGAAGCGAAGGCGTGGATGCGCACTGCTGAGGAATCCCACAATTGGACGAAACGGTCGTCCAGTACTTCCAGGTTTTCCATGGTGGTCTAGCTTCAATTGAACCATGATTTCAATTATGAAAATACTAAATCTCCAAAAAACCCCTTCTGATAACAATATATAGGTTCGTTTCATCATGAGGGTCATAGTTATCTTAGCAACTAAAAAATGTCCAATGGTAACTTACTTGTAAACATTCACTATTCTTACTCAATTTCATTTAAATATGATTTGACTTTAACTAACTATCAATTGCAAGGGCAGTATTTCTACAATTGAAGAACATATGGAACTCAAAACAACTGTCAACTAACTTCAAAGTGAAAATTATTTATACGAACGTCAAGACAGTTAGTTCTATTGTACGGAGATGAAACGTGGAGAACTAATACATCCATCTCCAAGAAGGTACATGTATTTATAAACAGTTGTTTACGCAAAATACTCAACATTCACTGGCCGGATACTGTGAGCAACAGCGTTTTATGGTAGACGACAAACCGGCTTCCAGCTGAAGAGGAAATTAGGAAAAGATGATGGAAGTGCATAGGACACCCTTTGAGGAAATCACCAAACTGCATTACTAGGCAATTCCTAACTTGGAATCCGGAATGTAAGCGGAAAAGAGGAAAGCCAAAGAACACATTACGCCGGGAAATAGAAGCAGATATGAAAAGAATGAATAACAAGTGGAAAGAACTGGAAAGGATTGCCCAGGACAGAGTTGGATGAACAATGCTGATGAGCGGCCTATGCTACTCCACGAGGGGTAACAGACGTATGTAAGTAAGTAACTACCAATTAATGAAAATCATGCTCTTCTGATATAAATATGACTGATTATCATAATTATTGATTTTCCTTAAGCAAAGATTGATATTCCATATGTGTATGTTTTTACTCTTCTCCTTTGTAACTAAGTAATTACAATTCCTTCAGATTCTGGTACTTACTATAATAACTAACAATGTAGAGATAGATAAATTAGGTTTACTTATTACCTTTCCACTTGCATCCATACTATGACTAAATAGTATTATGGAACATATTTGTAAAAGATACCTATGGACATATTGTAGTGAACAAGAACATTGGTGGGGATAATCGAATGTATTTCATATTCCATATAGTGAATAGTGACTTCACCAACTACCAATCAATTGTCTTAATCTTAACTGTTCCTTCTGTAAATATCAATCCGCCTTCTCTAATTTGATTGTTCATGAATTTTCATACCAATTACATGCCGTTCCCATTCTCTCCTTATCGATCTTCTACTGAAATACATTCAATGCCCGACTATCACCATATACTACTTATGTGGATATCAGTAACCCACACCACAATATGAAATCCTACATTAACAATATACAATTGACTATTCTTAAATAGATATCAAATGTATCTTTTTAACATTTCATTGTAAGTTACTAATTCAATCAATAGGAAAGTGACTAGTGTATATCCATACTTTATTCACTTATCAACAACATTCATTTGTTTATTATGTTTGTTTATGTTTTACCAGTAATCTGGAAAAAGGGAATAGTGTGGAGATTGTTGAGT